ATAAGTTACGATAAAAACGACGAGGAAATTTTAATTTCGCGAAATTGATAAAATTCGATGATGCCTCCTTTTTATGATAAAATTTAAAATATAATAAAGGAATGCATACTTTGCTACGGCGCCGTGACTCGCGGCGGTGCCGACAGAATTCGGGATAACCCTCCGTCTGCCCTCCGCCACTCACCCTCCTCGAGACATACAACACGTGCCTCGGAATGTTTTTTTTTACTTCACGGTTTTTTTTTAAATGTGCGCGCGGAAGCTCGTGCTTTTAAAGCTGACTTCCATTCGCTTCGTTCACCTTGTGGTCCATTTTCTATAGACAATATATACAAATAAATTGATAGAAAAGTTTTAATAATAACTTCTCATCGAAATTATGATGAAAGATATCAAAAAGTGAATCTTACCATATTTCGAATCTTTAGACTCTAGTTTAACTGTCAGTGGAGCTATCCTTGCTTTTATCCTTTGACTCCTGCGATTCCTGCGCAGGTAAATCCAGACTATCCGACGAGATCCTTCTACTACTAAACCGTTTCTCTTGCTCCTCTTTGGGATCCTTCACGTTATTTAACGAGTCTGAACTAATCGATGGGTAATCCAATGTTGTTTTTAACTCCAAGGAATCCGAACTCTGGCACATGACGTTGTAGTTTCGTCCACCGTTGCCTTCCAGCTCCAAGGAATCTGTACTCGTGTCCATTAAATTCATATCACTGGCGCTTTTTGGTGGCGCTGAAAACATTAATATGTTTGTACGTAACAAAATTAAATAATTTAAACGATAACTGATTATTTGATTAACGAACCTTTTACAGGAGCAGACGAAGTTGGCGTTTCAGCTGCAATGATTGTTACTGGCACAGTCGGCTTATCGTCCGTAAGATCAATTTGAGATATGTCTTCCGTGGTATCGTCGTGTCGTTCTATTTTTTCAACGTTCGCTTGCGCCAATCTTATGATTTCATCGATTTCTTTGATTCTCTTTTCGTAATCATCGGATCCCGACGTGCTCGGGTTAAAGGATCCGGGCGCACTACCTTGGCTTTCAGCTTTCGCTCTGGCCAAGCTTTCGAGTTTGTACCGATTTTCGGGACTCTCGTGATCCAGCAAGTCTTCTTCCTCTCTAGCTCTCAGTTCGATCATGTGGGCTTCTTTGCAAGCTTTTTCGAGAACTTCGAAATCTTTCACCGAAGATATCGAAACGTCATCGCCGTGGCCCGATTTACTAGCGTGATACCTCCTTGGTAGACTGCCGTTACTCGATGAATCTTGGGAACTACTATGCTGCTGTTCTCGTCTTTTTGCATTTTCCTGTGCCACTGCATTTTCCAGGTGTTCAAATTCTTGTAGCGAACTCAGTGACACGTTGTCATGGTCCGTTGGTTTGAAGTACCGTTTGGCTGTGAGAATGTCATAATTGTCAGGAGTACTGCCGAAACTGCCTCTCATACTGCCAATGCTACCGATGGACTCTTTCTGGCTACCAACACTACCAAAACGACTGCTTCCGGCTTCAAAGTCTGCAACTTCTTCCTCTTTTATGTCTTCCAGAGGGCCACGCTCGTATTCAAGATCGTATATGCGAGTTTCGTTCTGTTGGAACTGCATTTCAACCCACTTTTTACCGCTTTCACTGTACTGCTCCTCGTCGGAATAAGATTGTGAATACTGATCTTCGTTGGATGCTTGAGGTGGACTTTCTTCAGATTCAAAATCGAATAGTTCAGCCGTACTTCTCGTCGATTGAGCTTGAGGCTTTTGAAGATCCTGTTTTTCCATCATAAGATTTTCCACGTCTCGATCGTAGATCTTACTACTTACGAAAGATGTGGAGCTAATACGAATACCTTTACCTACAAAAATATTTTAATGTAAACAAGACCTTTTCAAGACTAAAAGAACGCGTATTTGAGTATTTAAATACCTTCGGAATCAAACTCATGGGCTTCTCGACCAACCTCTTCTACAACAACAAAATCGTCAATAATGTCTGGCTTATCAACTAATTCGAACGAGTCGCTGTCTGGAGAGTTACGATCGGCATGTTCTTTCTCTATGACTGTTTCCAAAGAAACGCCCGACATCGATGAAGATGTCATACTCAATTGCTGTTGCAAGGTCAATCCGGAACCAGGCCCATGCCCTTCCGCACTTTCTTCATCAAGACTCGATGTAGAAGTGTACTTTACCTCCAATGAATCTGGTTCGAATGAGCAAGTTTCAGCTTTTAAATCGGACGAGCTCAAAATCAATTCATCCACAGACTCTGGCTGTTCCGAAATATTTCTAGTGGTCATTATCTTCTGTGAAACTTTCTGAGTTGTTGTACTTTTCGTAACACAGACATTTGCTTCAGATGAGACACTACCAGATTTTGAATTAGTTATGGACGATGAAGTTTCTGTAACTGTAAGTGTAGAAGAATCACTTAACTTTGCACCCAAACTTTGACCCTCACTTGATGATTCTTGAGTGATCTGTAAAAAAAAAATTTTTCACCAAAACAATATAAAAGCAAATGAATAATATCTTTAATACACAAATAATTTACCACTTGACTGAAGATCATTTCGCTGGAACGTTTCATCATACAAGGGATTTCGGGATCAACTTTTAAGTGTTTCTCCTCATCATCAGATACATCGTCGAAACTCTTCATATCGTCGTCTAATATGTTTTCCAGATTTTCATCTAAAGCATCTTGGTCCAACTCTGGTTCAGACGCCATAATCGTTTCGGATAACTCACTTGCGCTGTCTAGACTACCCATTTGTCCGGAACTAATTGAAGCTAACGATTTCATTGATTCTCTCGAACTTAATGTATTCATAGCGGTAAAGTAATCTTGTGAAGTTCCTTTCGAAGAATGCTCCATTGACATTGCTGCTGTTTCGTATTCTGATGCTGTAGAAGAAAGTGGGTGAGCTGCTGATTGCAGAGCCTCGACGTCAGAGGAACATGGACGACTGCTGCTCTCGTATTCACAGGATTGGTAATTGCTCTCGCCGCTACTGGAAACGTCAGCTTCACTTTCCGAGGTGATACCATGCTGACCACGAGAAGGCTTTGGTCGACGTCTAGGTGCTGGTTGAGGTGGTTGTAATGAGAAAGTTTCATCTTTTGTTGCTACCTCCGCATCAGAGCCTGATTTACTTACTACTTTTTGGGACGATGAAAATGATTCGAATGTATCTTTTGATTCTTTTTGCGAACTTTGGTCGGATTCACTTTCAACCATTATCGAAGTTTTACTCTTATCTTGTTCTGACGTTTTCTTTTCGGCAGAACTACTTTCTGAAGAACTTTCTTCCCGAGTGATTTCTGAGTGTCGGCGAGGTTTCGCTACCGGCGATGAAGAAGAAGAAAAGTTTTCTGTATCACTTCCTTTTTCGAGAGATGGTGCCTTGTAAAGAAACGGTAATTCATTTGGAATTGATTCAGGTTGAAGTTTAAACTGGAATTCCGAAGGTGAATCTTTTATTTGTATCATGTTTTCACTATTTTCACTCAACTCTTCAATGAGATCTTGCTTAGCTGCCTCAAGATTTTCTTTTACCTCTGCTATTTCTTTTTTTACAACTTGATCTAAGACTGTGATAGCATAACGAGCACTCATATTGACATTTTGAAAATCTTCCTTTTTTACTTTGTACGGACTCGTTTCCTGGTGTGAATGTGCTTTTTCACGTTTGTCTCCAACTCGTTTGTGATCGTCCCAAGCCTTTGATCGCATGTCGATTCTTCCTTCTTTATGAAATTCCGCTTTTGGAAGTTTTTGAACGCCTGTCACGCCTTGACTCCCATCTTGTTTTTTCAAATCTTCGGGATCAAATGTCTTGTACGACAAAAGTTGAACATCTTTTTTTTCTTCATTCTCACTTTTTTCATCATCCATTTTTAACAACATTTCTGATGGTTCTGGTGGATGTTGAAAGTTTTCTAAATCATAAGATTGTTTTTTCTTGTCCTCTTTATCCTTTTCAGATGTATCTACTTCAGAAGATAATTTTTCGTTTAGCGATTCACATGATTTGTTTATGGTTTCAGAAGAATTTTCAATTTTTCCAATTTCAGTCTGTACATCAAATTCTGTTTTTAACTTTTCTTTGTCTTTTGTATCTAAGTTTTCTACCTGCTCAACTTTTTTACTACTAACTGTGTCCGTTTCTTTTTTTGAATTACTTGTTTCTCCAGCTTGATTTGAATTATCCAATGTTTTTTCAACTGTTTCCGATGTTTTAGTCTCATGTTTGTCTGCTACCTTTGTGCTTTTGTTTTCTTCAATGGGATTTTTTTTTAAGTCTTTTATTTGCATAGTTTCTTCAAACTGTTCTTCATATAACTGTAGCAATTCACTGTCTCTTGATTGACTAACTGCTTCAGTTAGCTTTAAAGGTTCTACCAAACTTGTAAACTGTTCTCCTTCTATAACGTTGATGGCGGTTTTTGTTTCGAAAGGTATATCAGAGAATTTTAAGCTTTCATTGCGGGTTTCCGATGGATTCGTTAATTGGGCCTCATATTTTTTTTCACTATAATCAAAACCATCATCGTCATCTTCTATAGTTATGAAATGAAATGATTTTGCAGCCATTTCTTCTAATCTATCATCCGTTGGTGTTTTAGCATCGTATTCTCTCTGCAGAGTATCCATTAACTCCTGACAACTAATTTCCAATTTATTTTCTACCAATTCTTTCTCCACATCAAAATCTTCTTCACTTACAGGAATCACAGTAAACTTTGATTTTCCACTCAGCTTTGTAGACTCTGACTCGTCAAATGACGTTGAGCATGTTTCTTGTATTTGCGGTATTTCGAATTTTCTTTCACCAGAAATGTTAACACCTTCTTGCTGTTGCTTTAGCGACATTTGATATTCTTCGAGTTCTTTGTCAAATGCTTCAGAGGGTTCCAAGGCTTCCGAAACTTCTATTTTTTCATCACCAATCATCCAGTCGACTGGTTTGATTTCTAATTCTTTGACTTTCAATCTAGGCGAAACAAGTGGTGGACTTTCTATTTCAAAAGAGTCTTTTTCAGTTCTTCTTTTAATGGAAACTTTATCAAAACCAAACTCTTGTTTTTTATTACCATCTTGTGATAGAGAATAGTCAATATTTGTATCTTCAGAGAATGTGGCTGAACTCATGGAAATATCACGCTCTAAGGCATCTAATGAATCTATTGCTGGACTTTCGTGCAGGTTTTCTTCTTTTATTGGAACATCGTGACCTGTTGTTGAAAATTTAATCTCATCTACTTCAATTGAAGATACATCGATGGAATCCTGTCTGGACTGACTTTCAATCTCTGGTTCTAATATTTCGAGCACTCGAGCTCCAGAAAGTTCAGAAACAAATTTTCCATCAACAAGTTTTTTGCCTAATTTAGTTGCTTCTAGCAATGGCGTTATTTCTTTTTTTAGTATCGATGTTTGTTTACCTGTTTCACCTATGTCTTTGATGTCAACTTTTTCAGACATACTTGGACTAATAGTAATATCTTCCGATAATTTTGTTTGAGACAGAGAAAGTTGAAGTGATGACGATTCATCTTTTGTTATGTCTTCACTCAAACTAAGACTTTCACTATCTCGAATTGATTTTAATGGTGTGGGGTTAATCAAATCGTCCATGACATTACGCATTGTACTTAATTTTTGTGTCAGATCATCAGCCATCTTGTCATGAAAATCTTCAGACTCAATAGTTCCACCAGCTGGAATCGTAACGACATCGATAACACTTTTACCTGACTCAATCATCGTTTTTGTTAAATCTTTTTCTGTTGCACCTACATCTTCTTTTAAGTCTTGTTTTACATCAAATGTTTTTGAACCATCTTTAATCTTCTCTTCAAATATTGATTTTTCTAGGATTTTTCCAACATCGTCTGGTTTTGTACTTTCATCATGTAGATCTTTTTCTACTTTAAAGTGTGTACCGGCAGTACTTTCTTTTAACAAATTTGATGTTTCTGTCGTGGTCACAATTTTTTCATTATTTTCTACACTTCTTGATTCCACACTATATTTTCTATCTTGCCCTTTTTGTAAAGCAGAAGCTTGGACTCTTTCAAAGTCATCAGTTAAATTAACTAATGTTTTTTGAGTTACACTTTCAGATGTTTCTTTTCCTTTACTTTTTTTTTCTTTAACTTTATCGTCGAAACAATCTTTTTGTAACATCGAAATAGAAGTCTCCTTTTTCTGGAAATCTTCTTTTTCTTCAAGAGCAATAATTTTTTCTTTACCAGTATCTATTTCAGAGGACTTGACCTCTTTTTTTTCAGACAAACTTGTAGCTTTGTGGTCAACTTTAGATGTAGTAACACTAGTGGATGCAATCAAGTCTGAATTTTTTAAGGCACTTGTGTTTTCCAAAAGTTCAAAGGCATCTTTTGGGTCACTCCTGAAGGTACCAGAGACCAACTGAGATGTATTACTTTGTTTTTGCGTGTACTCCTGATGTTCTTGAGTGGTAATTTCTTTACTCTTTTCTGTCTTAGTCACGGTTACTGTTTCCGATTCTTTCTTGGACAATGATTCTTTTTTCGATGATTTTTCTGAGGATTTTGGAGAAGGCAAACTACTTTTAGAACTAGATTTTGAATCTGAATCTTTTAGAGGTATTCCACGTTTTGTTAAAGATTTCGGAGATTCTTCTTTAGAATCTCTTCTTCTTGCCACAGGAGTCTTTGGTATCTCATCTTTCAATTCTTTGGAATCTCGTCTTCTAGTTAGTGAAGTTTTAAGTATTTCCTCCCTAGACGATTCTCTTTTAGGTGTAACTTTAGGAGTAAATTCTGAACTTTTTTTCGTACTACCTTTGGATTGTTCTTCTTTTGAATCTCGCCGTTTAACGCCGGACTTAGAGGGTAAATCTTTGACATCATCTTTTTTTGGTGAAATTTTTCCAGATGATTCCGTCTTCTTTACCCCAGTTTTTGTTAACTCTTCACCTTTTGAATCTTGACGTTTTACACCAACTTTAGGTGTTACATCTTCTTTAGATTTTTCTTTCCTCATTATTGGTTTAGAGAGGATTTCATCTTTAGACTTTTCTCGTTTCGGAACTGCTTTGTGTATTTCTTCTTTAGATTTTTCTCGCTTCGGCAGAGCTTTTGAGGCAAATTCGTCTTTCAGCTTTTCTTTTTTGGGAGGTGATTGAAGGGAAAACTCTTCTTTTGATTTTTCTCTCCGTGGTATCATTGAAGTAGACAATTCCCCTGAAGATTTTTCACGTTTAAAACTGGTTGATGATAACTCTTTACTATTTCGTCTACCGATCGGAGATGTAATGGAAAATTCGTCCTTAGATTTTTCTCTCCGAGGAATCATCGACTTCGAAAATTCACCTGAAGACTTTTCTCGTTTGAGAGCAGCAGATGATAATACTGTATCTTTATCATCTTTTGGTGAAGATTTAATTAAAAATTCATCCTTGGATTTTTCTCTTCGAGGAATCATGGACTTGGGAATTTCACCAATAGATTTTTCTCGTTTAGTAGTATTAAATGGAAATCCTTTGTCTTTTACATCTTGTGGAGGAGATTTTATTAAAAATTCATCTTTGGATTTTTCTCTTCGAGGAATCATGGACTTTGGAATTTCACCAATAGATTTTTCTCGTTTAGTAGTATTAAATGGAAATCCTTTGTCTTTTACATCTTGTGGAGGAGATTTTATTAAAAATTCATCTTTGGATTTTTCTCTTTTAGGTATCATAGATTTTGGAATTTCACTACTAGATCTTTCTCTTTTGGATATAACAGATGGTAAATCTTTAGTTTTATCCTCGAGAGGACGTGATTTCACAGAAAATTCTTCTTTCGAATTTTCTCTCCGAGGTATCATTGATTTCGGAATTTCATCTTTTGATTTTTCACGCTTGGGAGCTGTTGATGGTAAGTCCATAGGTTTTTTATCCACAAGCGATGATGTAGAAAATTCGTTTTTTTTAGATTTTTCTACCTTTGTAAATTTATCTTCTGATATTTCCTGCTCAAGAGCTTTTGATGGTAATTCTATTTGTGTCTTGTCAGTAAGAGGTGAGTTAATAGTAAATTTATCTTTTGATTTTTCCCTTTGTTGTATCATAGATTTAGGAATTTCGTCTTTAGATTTTTCTCGTTTAAGGGCCGTTGGAGATATTTCCGACGATTTTTTATCTGCTGGTGGCGATTTCATGAAAAACTCATCTTTAGACTTTTCTCTCCGTGGTATCATTGATTTTGGAATTTCATCTTTGGATTTCTCTCGCTTAGGAGCAGTTGATGGTATCTCTGAAGGTTTTTTATCTACTAGTGGCGATTTTGACGGAAATTCATCTTTAGACTTTTCCCGTTTCGGTATCATGGATTTTGGAATCTCGTCTTTGGACTTTTCACGCTTTAAAACTGTAGATGATAATTCTGTTTGTTTTTTATCGGTGGGAGGTGATTTTACAGTAAATTCGTCTTTTGACTTTTCTCTTCGTGGTATCATTGATTTTGGAATCTCATCCTTAGATTTTTCACGTTTAGGAGCTATTGCTTGCATGTCTATTGGTTTTTTATCCAACGGAGGTGATTTTAAAGAAAACTCATCTGTAGATTTTTGTCTTTTCGGTATTATAGACTTTGAAATCTCATCCGTAGATTTTTCACGCTTAGGAGCTGTTGACGGTACTTCTGATTTATTTTTATCTGCTGGTGTGGGTTTCACCAAAAATTCATCTTTTGATTGTTCCCTTTTTAATATCATGGACTTTGGAATCTCATCCTCAGATTCCTCATGCTGTAGAACTTTAGACGGCAATTCTACTGTTTTTTTATCCAATGGAGGCGATTTTAGAGAAAATTCATCTTTTGACTTTTCTCTTCGAGGTATCATTGATTTCGGAATTTCATCTTTTGATTTTTCACGTTTAGGAGCTGTTGACAGTAAATCTGTGGGTTTTTTATCTAAAAGGGGTGACGTTGTTGAAACTGCATCTTTAGATTTTTCCATTTCTGCCGTCATAGACTTGGGAATCTCATCCTTAGATTTAACCTCACTAAGACCTGCACTGGACGATAATGTTTGTTTTTTATCCGTGGGAGGTGATTTTAAAGTAAATTCTTCCCTTGACTTCTCTCTTCGGGGTATCATTGATTTTGGAATCTCATCTTTAGATTTCTCACGTTTAGGAACAGTTGATGGTATCTCTGAAGGTTTTTTATCTACTGGTGGCGATTTTGACGAAAATTCATCTTTCGATTTTTCCCGTTTCGGTATCATAGATTTTGGAATCTCGTCTTTAGATGTTTCACGCTTAGGAGCTGTTGTCAGTATCTCTTGTGATTTTTTATCTACTGATGGCGATTTCACTAAAAATTCATCCTTAGATTTCTCTCTTTTTGGTATCATGGACTTTGGAATCTCATCTTTGGATTTTTCACGTTTAGGAGCCATTACTTGCGTGTCTACTGTAGTTTTATCCAGCAGAGGTGATTTCAAAGAAAATTCATCTTTCGATTTTTCTCTTCGTGGTATCATCGATTTCGGAATTTCATCTTTAGATTTTTCCCGCTTGGGAGCTGTTGATGGTAAGTTCACAGATTTTTCATCCACGAGGGATGACGTTGGAAGTTCGTCTCTGAGTTTTTCTACCTTTGGAACTTTATCGTCAGATTTTTCCTGCTTTAAATCTTTAGACGATAGTTCTGTTTGTGTCTTATAAACAAGAGGTGATGATTTTATAGAAAATTCCTCCTTTGACTTTTCTCTTCGTGGTATCATCGACTTTGGAATGTTGTCTTTAGATTTTTCACGCTTGGGAATAATTGAAGATATCTCTGATGGTTTTTTGTCTGCTGGTGGCGATTTCAGAGAAAATTCGTTGTTCGACTTTTCTCTTTGTAGTATCACGGAACTGGAAATTTCTTCTTTGGATTTTTCTTTTTTTAGAGCAATTGATTCAGCCTCTGTCGGTTTTTTATTTGTAGTAGGTGATGTAACGTGAAACTCATCTTTAGATTTTTCTCTTTTTGCTGTTGCAGACTTTGAAATCTCATCTTTAGATTTTTCACGCTCTGGCACTTTTTGTTTGGATGTTATGAGTGGTATTGCTGTTGGTTTAATATCAGTTGAAGATAGCGTATAACATACAGTTTTTGTCCTGTTTGATGGTGTAGGCTTTTGGATTTTATCAATCACATCAACTACAGATTTTTCTTGCTCAGGAGTTTTTGTTTGCAGCTTTGCAGGTTTTGCTTCTTCTAAAGATTTTTCTGCAAAGCTTTTTTCTAGGAATGTATCTTTTTGTGTCATGGTCGCAGCTATTTTTTCATTTTTTATTTGATATACACTCGTATCATCAAATATTGATTGCGTTTTTACCGTTTCATACGTTTCAATTGAAGAGCTTTGACGTAGTTGTGTTTCTGGTTTTGATTCGATAGTTTTGTCTTGTTTAATGTCTTTTGTTAAGGCAGCAGGAGTATCAAGGATAGTTTTAACTTCGATCATTTGCGATGAATCTTTTAAAGTTTGATCTAATTTTTTTTGAAAATTATCGTTCTTTGATCCTAGAGCACCAGCAATACTTTCCGGTTGTTTTTCAACTACTTGAGATACAGGGAGAATGGTAACAGACTCTTTTATTAACAAATTATGTGGTGGGCTTGTTGATATTGTATCTTTTTTTGAGTCCTTTACTAATGATTCGATCGTAGTAGTAGGAGTAATAGCGGCATGTTTAACAGGATCTCCTATTTTATCTCGAGTATCTAAAACAGAGATTTTTGAGTCTTCTTTCGACGATGCAGTTTCGTCAAGCTTTGCTTCTTTTTCTGAAAATTTTTTGAGTTCTTCTTTGGATTTCTGTTTTACAAGTATTGGTAGTTGAGAAATTTCAACTTGCATTTTTTCTTTTTTAGTTGGAGAAATCATTTCAACTTTCGATTTCTCACTTTTTGAAGGATATTTCGGTGAAGTTTCCTGTTTTGATATTTCTTTCGTAGGAGAAATAGATTTTGGTGAAACAAGTTTAACTTTCTCCTCAATTTTCGATTTTGTTGTAGTAATTTCTTTTCCTTTGTCTGCTTTAGATGGCATCTTACTTGTTGCTTCTTTCGGCCTTTCAAGTTTAGGTGAAGATTTTTTGATGTCATCTTTTGGTTTATCTTTCTTAGGTGGAGATTTAGAAAGAGGCTCATCTTTTGATTTGTCTTTCTTCGGTGGTGATTTAGAGAAAGATTCTTCTCTTGATTTTTGACGTGGTGGTATGGATTTTGGAGATGTTTCTTCTTTAACTTTAGTTGATTTTGCAGTTACCACAGAAGATTTAGATTCAACTACTTTCTGTTGCTTTGACACGTTTTCTTGCATTTTGGTTGCCTTGGCTTTGCTTTCCTTATCAGTGTCAGTCTTTGTGACGGTTTTGGATTTTGTGTCTAATTTAATTTTAGTTTCACTTGTATCACTTTTTGTGCTCGTCACTTTTTTATCAATTTTCGAAACTGTTTCTTTAGAAGCTAACTCAGATGTAATCTTACCCATTTCTGTAGTTTCACCTTTCACGCTTATTTTCTTTTCACTATCTTGTTTTTCTTGTTCACTTTTAAATTCTTTCAAATCACTTTTTCCAACTGAAAGTTCTTTTTCTACCTTATCATTTTTCTGATCAGTTTTTTCTTTTTCAGAATCCTGCCTTTTTCCAAGTACATCTTTTCCATCTTTGCTCTTTATTCTTTCATCTTTTTTCTCTTCTTTCGCAGAGTCTTTTTTTCCAAACAGTTCCTTTTCGTCCTTACTCTTCTTTCTTTCTCCTTTCTTGGGAACTTCACCCTTGCCCATTTTTTTATCATCTTTCATTTCCTTAACAACAACTTTATTATCAAACAAAGCTATTTCTCCTCGACTCTTTTGCTTTTCACTTTTTTCTGTTGTACAATCTTTCTTTTCTTCCTTTCTTTCGTCCCACTCCTTGACATCAACCTTTCCAGTCTTATCTCTCATTTCGATTTCCTGCCTAGCCTTTTCTTCCAAAATCCTTTCCGTTTCTTCAAAGACTTCCAGAGATCTATCATCTTCGCTACTCATAGAAATTCCTGAAAGCCTAGCTGCTGCAATCCTTGCTGATTCTTGAGAAGACTGACTCTTTAGGGATTCCCTAGCAGCTGATGTTTCCTTTTGTATTTGCTCTTCGAAGTAATGCGCCTTTTCCGCAACTGTACACTCCGACATGTCCACCGAAAGACCGGCATCGACCAAATGTTCCTGATCAACGGCCTCATCCTCGCTGCGCTCTCGTACTTCACTGAGGCATTCGCTGTCGCTGTCGTGATACGTCAGTTGGGAAGTGTGTGACACTTCGGATTCACTTCGTTGGAAGCTTTCACGTTTGCTACGCGCTATGTCTTCCCAAAAGCGCCGCTTTTCCGAATAAGTTTTCTTCTCAGTCGTCGGAGAGAGGTCTTGGCCCGAGTAACTATCATCTACGGATTCTAAGGGGATGGTCGATTTGTGAGCAAGTAAACTACCAACTGCATCTAAAACAAGCGAAAAATTATTCATCAATTTGTCCTTGGCAACTTTTTTGGTATAATGGCTATTTTCAACCTAACAATCATCGTTAAATAATGTTGTGTAAGCTTGTTATAATCATAACATTTTCTAAAGCATATACTTTATTACACGATTCAATGGGATGGATTTTTTATTGTAAGATTTAGTAAAGATACAATAAATAAACATCAGAACGATATAATAATTAACTTTAATGTATTTTACAATTCTTTAAAGGTATTTTGTTCTAATCTATACATCACACTTTTTGTAATGTATTATTTATGAAATTTTTTGTGACAAAACTAAAATAAGAATTTCTCAGTTCCAATGTAATCTCATTTATTTCATTCAAGGACTTGTACATCAACAACATAAACAACACTTTTGTTGCACATTCTCGCAAATTTTTCGTAAAACGGGCGTCAAAATTTTCGAAAAGCAAAGAGTCAATATTTACGCAATGTTCGGTAAGCATTTTGTTTCCATGTAACGTATCTACGATATCTTGATTTTATAGTGAAAATAACTATATATATAATTTTTTATTTATACAACGATTATATAGAACATCTTGAATCATATTATAACAATGATGACGGCAATAACGGTAATTTATAATCTGTATAATTGTTCAACATTCAATATATTAATTTGTATAAATTGTACCATATTCGTCAACAATTTTTGTCATGAAATTGAGTGTCAAAATTCAGTAAAATTCATCAAAAATTTATTAAATGATTAATTTTTATTATGAAAATACATATCTATCAGATTTTCTTAAATGCGTTCCCAAATAGTCCACAGTAAAAATATATATGCTACTGAATTTTTATCTCAATTTAATTATAGCAACATGTATCTATGATCGTTTTTCATATTTGAATACTTTGTCTACAACAATATCAAGAACGGCAATTTCGTCTGCAACCAACAGGTAAAACACCGCCAACCAGCGATAACATTGATTATTCGTCTTGTTTTAACCCGATGGAAAAATCGGCTTCTCGCATCATTAGATTTTTCCCTAAATTGAATCTGTTTGAGATTACGTGACTAGAAACGTGCGTTCAAGAGAAAACCATCTCATCTAATACACCGTTCCAATTACGCGATCTGATTAAAAAAATTATTCATCGTCGAGTATAAAAGCTGATGCTCAACGATAGACTCAATTCCATGTAGAAAAAAAGGGATGCCACACGAAAGCCACACGAAATCACCAAAGAAAAAAAAAAAACAAAATTAAAATTCCACCCCTCGAGTACACGTAGCACCCCCATTCCCCAGCTAATCAGACTGCAATCGCAGCTCGAGTAAAAAATAAAAAAGAAACCAATCCACGGAAACGCAAGTCTCCCCCAACACACTCGGCCTTTTGCAGTTTACTCGATGTCCTCGACATCGGTGTGACTTTCGCTGATGGCATCCTCAACGTCCCCCCGAACGGTCAACAGCTGCGGCTCCATCTTGTCGACGTTGGTCATAACGATCTGCGACGCCGCTATCAAGTCGAAGCCCTCGTAGACCGCGCGCAGCCCACAGGTGGCCTCCTCCCCGTCCTCGTCGGACGCCTCCATGTCCTCGGTGTCCGTCGCCGGCACCGCCAGCCCCGGCAAGTCCGGCGTCTCGCAAGCTGGCCCCGAGGACTCATCCACGGACATCTGGTTGCGGATCTCCACGGAGAATGGCCCGTCGCCCTCCTTTGTCGTGATCATCTCGCCGTTAAAGTCGCACAGGATGTCGGAGCGCCGCTTGACGAGGATCGGCGGCTGGACCGACTCCTCGTCCTCCTCGTTGGACATCTCCTCGAGATCGGTCTCGCCCTGCTGGGCGTTGTCCACCTCGACCGCGAGGCTGCCCCGGGGCGAGGTGGCCCTGCCGGTCGGCTCGTTGTTCTCGACGTCGCTCGTGTAGATCTCGTCGACATCGGTGAGGTTCTCCAGGTAGCTGTTGCGCCGGCCGGCGGCGCAAGACGAGTCGTCGCTCGGGTCGAGGGTCACCGAGATGACGGGGCGCAACAGGTTAGCGTCGTTGGCGTGGTGGTGGTTGGGGGTGGTGTTCCTCGGGGTGGCGAGCTCGCCCTCGGAGTCGGTGTCGGAAAAGTGGAGCGAGGTGTTGTTGATCATGGCGTTGAGCCGCCGACGGGTCGATCGGGCCTTGCGCTTGGCCTTGGCGACGTGGCGCGGGCACTCGCCGTTCGCGGCGCCCTCCGAGCCCGTCACTTGAATCACGGGCGAGCTCACCTGCTGCTCTTGCATTTCTACTCCTTCTTGTCACCGATTCCGCAACGAGATCCACTTGGTGTTTTTTTTTTTTGTTTTTTTTTTTTTTATTNTGTTCCTGTCGCCGGAAGGGAAATTTTCCAAAAATTAATCCACGCCATTTTTATTACATCATCGTTTCAATAAAAAAAAAAAAAAAAAAAAAAACCCCTCACCCTCGCGCGGGCGTCAACCTTCGCTTTTTTTTTTTTTTTTTTACCGTGTAGACGCGGGTGGGACCTAACTGGCACTCGTGAGGGTTATTCTAGCGGGGGAGGGAGAAAAGAAATCTGAAAAACCAAAGTAACAAAAGATTGGCTTTATACGTTTTCGGAGATGTGACAAGCGATGATGATGATTTCTGGGTTCGTTGAGGGTTACTGGAAGCGATGATTTTGAAGTATACGCCGTTAGATCGAAAAGCCGTTATCGAACAAGTGCATATCGAATGTTCGTTCAACACCAACAAAAGCGATCAACCCACGCAAACGGCAGATGATAATCAAATCACGATGTAATATATGATCAACAAGCACAATAAAGGGGGTGGAAATAACACACGCGCACACAGCAGTTAGTAAAGAGGTATAGCAAATAAAGGCAGGACTCACGTCTTGGAACTGTCGGATGATGTGCCAGCTCGGCTCCCAAGGAAAAACTGAGTCTCCGCGAAGAAGCACGTGAGCGACGATTATTACTTCTAGTCACCTAAGGGTACGCTAGCGAAGAAAAGTAGCGCAGGTCCACGCGCAGTCGGTTCGAGGGTCAGTCGGGAGGCGACAACAACAACAAAGTACCGACTATATGTACACTAAAAAAAGGCAAATATGGACTGGATCAGAGTGAGAGACGGGGGGGGGGGGGGAGGGACCTCGCGAGAGAAATTCGTTGATGCTCTTAGCGGGTAATTGAATTATTAGAAGCCTCGCGCGGTCTGGGAGCTTTTTCCATAACTGGATTACAGGCATAGTTTCATCCTTACTCCGATGGGCATACACACAATGTTCCAGATGTGTGGAATGTGCGCGTGGCTGCGCGTTGAACCAAACTCTCAGGAACAGGAAGACGGAATAAATGGTCAACAAAGCGTATAATCATCGAATCGTTATACACACGCGTGCTCGCATTTGTATACATACTTACGCATCGGATGAGCACACCTTGAGCTTCGGTGGGTCGCTGATCGTTAATTCGGTACAAAGCTTCTGTCGGATCGACTGTCTGGTTGTTTTTTTTTTTTTTTCTTTTTGAAAATGCTCGCCACTCGTTACCGATACCAACACAACACACACACAATATATCGTTACAATGCAAGCGCACGCGATCGCTGATGGATGTTTAGTTTTACCAATGCCGTTAGAAATGTGCTCGTTATTTTTTGAACAATGTATACTTTGTTAGTTGGACGGGTGCTGGATTTCCTCTTGCACGCTCATTTACTTATGCTCTACTTTCCTACAAAGGGGCCACGGGTAAAGTCTACCGTTCCTTACCTGGGTGCTCCTTCTGGAGGGTGTCGGTGATAAACTTCCTCTCGCCGGGCGACGTGCGCTTCGGGTAATCGCCCTTTTCGTCCGGATAGTCGAGCTTGTAGCTCGACTTGAGCAGCTCCAACTTTTCGGCCAGTATGTGGGCGTCCTCCATGGCTGCAGCGTATACGAGATAATAATTTTAGAGGAGTGGCGTTAAATTTGCCCACGCGAGAGTGGAGGAAAGAGCAGTAAAAGGGTATACCTTTGTTTTTGTCCTTGAACGTGACGTCGGGGAGGACGATGTTGAGGACGCAGAGCGGCTGCTGGGCCGGCTCGCCCTTGGCGACTTTCGGCTCCCGCATGAACATCATCCGCGCCACGGGGTCGAGCTGCGGGTCCTTGACCTTCACCTGGAACGACAGCCTGTTCTGCCGGAAGGCTCTGAACGTGAATTTGAGCTGCTGGCCGGACTTGGTGACCGGCACCAGGTTCCCCGTGAACTCGATGTAAAGATCCTTGCCGTCCAGCGTCTGAAGCGAAAGTCCAGGGTTACAGAAAGGGGGGGGGGGAGGGAGAAAGAAAAAAGATTCGTTTACCTCGACGTCGCGGCTCTTGACGATCTCCGAGAACTCCTCTTGCTTCTCCAACGTGTGGATGCCCTCCTTGCTGTCGGTCATGCACAGGATCCTCAGGATGGCTTCCACCTCCTCCATTCGTTTCGAGTAAATGACGAAGCTGCGAAAACACCCCGGTATTAACACAATATATACGCTCATCCCCAGTAAAAAGTAACAAAAGGACCCGTGTCCAACTGACTTTGTGACAAACGGCACGAAGAGGGACTCGCGGTAGAGATCAGTGGCCATTTTGGGGACCTCCTGGATGTTCCTGCAGTCCATGAGCCAAAAGCGTGCCGACACCGTGGTGGTGAAGGACACCCGGTCGTTGGTGAAGTTCAGAGGCGTCGAGCCCGTCACGTCCTCCCACTGGGCCTCGCTCGTGCCACCGGCGATGCTGCACAGAAGCCGTAGCGTCGGCGTTTCGCCGCCGTAGTGGTTAATCATGCCCTTGTTGGCGGCCCTGGGCACCGGCAGCGTCAGGCTTATCGGCTTGTGGAACTTGCGCCGCCGCGGCTCTATCGTTATCACTGGGGACACGGCCACGCAGTTGCCCAGCAGTTTGGCCGTCAACTCGGCCGGGATCACGTGGGCCTGAACGTTATACACAAGGGGTTTTTTTTTTTTTTAATGCCGATTTTTCCAAGGATCGGTTGATAAATATGAATGTACCTGCAGGCCGACTTTGATCTTTTTGGTCAGAGCGCCGGGCGGGAAGACGGCCTGGACCTCGTCGGCGACGCTGGAGACCAAAATCCCGCCTTCGGACCCGATCACGTGAACCTCCTGTTTGATCCGCGTGACCACAGCAAAGTACTGCGGGAACTCGGTCGTCATTATTCGCGTTATCCTGCCCGAGTGGACGGTGCTCATGTGGGCGTCTAAAATGCGATTGGAATTTGATTACGTACATCAATTGGATACAATTTTAATGTGAAAAAAAAAAATACATTAATAAATTGTTGTACCGTAAGGGGTATTGAGCAACGAGTCGTTGCCGTCGTTTTCGGTGGAATTGTCGTGTTCCTTCCAAGTCTCGCCGTTTTCGCTGCGCAAAATGATGATTTCCCGTTCCTTGCCGGCCACCGAGGCAAAATGGGGTATGTCGATCAAGACGGGTCTAGGAAATAATGGGACACATTACATGCCTATTTCTTTTTGTTTTTTAATTTCTCAAAGTAAAAACGAACCCCAAAAAGGAGGCACCAACGGGTCCCATCTCGATGACGCGGGTGGCGAGTGATTCGCCTTCCATCAACGGCGGAGGATTGGTCATTTTGCTGGGTTTCACGAGTCTGCAGGTCACACGGATCGGCATCGTCGCGCGCCTCGGTGGCACGATCAATCTGATACCGCTGTGTCGGCAACCCTTCATGGTGCCTCCCCGAGCGTCCACTAGGAAGCTCACGAGGAACCTGCAAATATTTTTCATTTTTGACGATTGTTGGTTGTTTTTCGGTAAACAATTAAATTGCTTTTATCTTTATGACACAGTTTTTAGCATCAACACTACATTAATTAATATTACTTTGGGTTAAGAAAGCTATACATGGGAATAGAAGCAGAGAAATCGGTAAATAATCAAGTGCAGTTATGACCAAGAATGCATTCGTGCGCATGAATTTTTTGCAGAAGATTGATGTATACTAACGATTTAAAATGAGGTCTGGTGATGCATGAAAATACAAAAAATTTTCTAGTGTTAGTAAGTTGTGTCTATAGCATTAATTTTCGATGATTTTTTTCTCAAATAAATTTAAAAACGTAAAATCCTTACTTCGAGTAGTCGCTACTGTCAAAGTTCTCGGCAGAACAATAATTGCTACTTTGAACGAAGTCCTTGTGTTCTTGTTTGGAAACTGTAAAATAAATGCAAGAAATATCGAATGAATTGTCAATAATTATCAATATTCAGAGGGACCAAATCAAGCCTCACTCACCCTGTCTGTGAATCGGGTCATCCCTCGTGACGTCGATCGGCAAAGAATCGTCCCTCAGATTTTTCATTAGATCAGCGGTCAAGTACCGGTAAGGCTGTTCGCTCATCAGAGCATCCGAACCTGTTGAGCACAACAGATCCTCTATGCACTACGTTGTGAGTATCTTTTCGCCCACGTGATTCGTGGAATAAAAATTTTCACGAAAACGAAAAATCGGCATGGGAATCGGTACGAACCTCCTTCGTCGTCGGAATCTGACATGAGACTCGTCTCTTGTAAGCTCTCCGGGGCGATGACTTTGTACTTTTCCTCCCAATTCTTGTTGTCCGGCGTCACGCCGTCGTAAGACAGGCCCTTCAGTACTTCCATCACCGAGATGTACCCCAATTTTTGGGCTACGTTGAGGGCAGTCAATCCGTCCTGCGAAACGTGAGTTAAAAAAATTTTATGATTTCACAACACGACAACAAAAATATGGTCCAAAGGTTCGAAAAAAAAAAAAAATTAAATTAAATTCAAAATTACATTGGTGCGAGCACGGTGTGAAGCATTGCCCTCGACAAGGGCAGAGACGATGTGAGCGTGTCCCTGCTGAGCAGCCTGATGCAAAGGGGTGTAGTTTTGTTTGGTCTTTACGTCTATCTCGGCTCCGTGCTTGAGTAGAAAACGCACCATCGACAGGTTTCCAAAGTGGGCCGCCTGTACAGGGGTTGATTTAAAAAAAAATCATTTAAAAATAAAAATAAATAAGGTGTATACAATACGTAGGAAGCCCGTTTGTAAATATTTTCTTTTGGCACCCAATTGACTTGTTTTGAAATAAATCTATTTCTTCGTTCACTTAATCAAACTCAAAATAGTTAAAGTAATTACTTGAGGGTCAGTGCACAAGCACACGATCAGTAAGAGCTGATCAAGGAGTGAGAATAACAAACTCCAAACTGTTGGATGTTTGTCAACGCCAACCTTGCCAGGCTCAGTCTATATCGTTACGACGATCGTTACAGACTCAAGTAATCATGGAAACAACTGAGAGGAAAAGTACATAATCAACAACCAATATAATATAATTTTTAGAGTTTGCCGTACAGACCCAATGAAAATCAACCGAAAAAAAAAACCCTTGAAATATAGATGCGGCGTTCTTTGATGTTAGTTTGACAATGGCACTTTATGGAGAAAAAGCCGGTTGTAGAGCAACGTTCCGGGAACAGCCGGGATATTGGTGGGAAAAGAAATCTCAGTGCGAAGTAATAAGAGAAGGGTATATTGACCACGTGTATGGGCCTGTATCCGGTCTCTGTCTGGCTCTCGACGTCGGCCCCGTTCTTGACGAGGATCGACGCCACCCTGATAAAGTCCTCTTGGGCGCACAGGTGCAGAGCCGTGAGGCCATTTTTGGCCCTGTGGTTGGGGTCGGCCCCGTGCTCAATGAGCAGGTTCGTCATGTCATAGTGGCCCTTCTGGGCGCTCAGGTGCAGCGGCGTGAAGCCCGCCTTCGACTCCACGTCCGCCTTGGCCCCGTGCTCGATCAGAGTCATGGCTATGTCCATCTGCAACGGCCCACGCGTACACTTTATTCAACGCTCTTACACTTGCTTCTAGCCGGGTTATTGTTTTACCTGGTTTTTACGGGCAGCCACGTGCAACGGCGTCTGGCCGTTTTGCGAGGCGAGGTGCGGCGAGGCGCCCTTCTCCAGCAGCAACTGCGCGACGTTCGGGTGGTCGTAGTGGCAGGCCAGCAGCAAGGGAGTTATGTTGTTCTGAGGCAAAAACACGATATGATTATACATATATGTACATATTGTATATATATATATATCGTCCAAGTGTAAGATAATATACCTTTCCTTGGGCGTCGAGTTTGCCCTCCTTTTGCAGCAGTATCTTGGCGACGTTCATGTTGCCGTACTTTGCGGCCACCGCCAGGGGGGTGAAGCCGTTTTTCGTCGTCGCCGTGACCGACGCGTTGTTGTCCACCAAAATCGCTGCGACCTGCCAAAGTACGACCGAGGGTGTGAGCGACGCGTCAACAGTGAGGGTTTTTCGTTAGTCGTGTGAGTATATTTGGACACGGTTAATGACGCAACTTTGTGAACGTATATATACGGTTATTGGGGTGAAAGTACAAAAAGCACCTTGGTGAATAAAGGCAGGATTTTAATACAAATACCTTACCTGTCCCGGGGGGCATGAGAGCCATGAAAAGCCACTCGTGACAACAAGTGTGTATCAACAACTATTCTGCTTGTGCACTCAGCTAATGGGGAGTGCATGGATATATATAACATNACGATCTCCACGTGGCCATCCTTGGAAGCCAAATGCAGCGCGTTCAAGCCGTTCTGAAACCAATGCGTCATCCATTTTATTCACGTTATACTTGCCCCCTCCCCCTTCCCTTTTTTTTTTATTGTTCAACAAATTCAGCTTTAGCCGCTATTCGATGAACAACCACGATTTATCCATCAACTGCCGAAGAGAACAATTAATTGTTCGAATCGGTGGTGTGTGACAAAAAAAAAAAAAATTATTTCCCATTTTTTTACGGGTGAATTATAAAATAAATCGATGAAACAAGCAAAACGTCGCAAGTACAGAAATTAAAAGGTATCGTTGAGTTGAAGTGAATTGACAACGAGAGAGAGAGAGAGAGAAAAAAACATAGTCATGCGGTGGACGAGAAGTAAATTTGAAATCGGTACGATGACATAAAGTATCGTAAGGGTGGATATATTGCGCGTGTGACTGTACAAAATATATATATGATTCGGCGAGAAAAAAGGAAACGGCGGCGGTTTCAGCGACGAAAGAGGAAATCTTAAAAATTACGGTGTAACAATGTTACGCAGGGGGCAGTTCGGGCGGGTTGTATTTTTTTCTCGTTTCTCATGAGATGCCGGATACCGTCGACGTACAAAGTACACTCAAAGTACAGTCCATCATAGCACACACAGCTCACGTATACATTTTCACAGTGGGTGCACCCAAAAATACACCCTAACAGCGTCGTGTCGACAAAAAAAAAAAAATAAATAAATAAATAAATAAATAAAAAACGCGGCAAAACGAGATGAGGTTCATCAGATGAGGTACTCGCGGCGCCGGTTCCAGTAGAGGAACCTCAGGTTACGCAGACTCACGAGCTCGGCGATGCGGCCGAGCTCGAAGCGCTCGGCGTCCGTCATTACCTCTTCCTGGCCCTCCTTGGCAGCTATGTGCAGCGCCGTGTACATGTCCTTGGTCGTCGTGTCCACGGCCGCCCCGTGCTGCAGCAGCAGCATCACTATGTCCACGTTGCCCAGACGCGAGGCTGCGGACAATTGGTTTTTTCTTTTTCTTTTCTTTTCTTTCACTCTAAACAAATTTTGGACACTTGGCTTACCTATGTGCAGAGGTGTCTGCTGTTCCTGTCGCCGGAAGGGAAATTTTCCAAAAATTAATCCACGCCATTTTTATTACATCATCGTTTCAATAAAAAAAAAAAAAAAAAAAACTTGGCGCGTCCCAGAGGGGTAAGGAACAGATGTACAACGTGGGCCGGATGCTGCGGAAGCGGTACGACGGCCACTTGAGCGAGAAGTACGTCTCGGAGGAGGTGTACGCGTACTCGAGCGCGGACGATCGGACGAAAACGTCCCTCCAGTTGGTCCTGGCCGGGCTTTANAAAAAAAAAAAAAAAAAAAACGCCTCACCCTCGCGCGGGCGTCAACCTTCGCCCCGTTTCTCAGCAGTATCCGTATGATGTCGGTCTGGTTGGCCCGGGCGGCGAGGTGCAACGGCGTTTCCCCGCGCACGGTGGGCACGTCCGGGCTCGCCTCGTGCTGCAGCAGGTAGATCACGATGTTCATGCAGCCCATGAAACTGAAGCACAAATTATGCTCACGGGGTTGACCATTTTTTGTTATTTTATTTTATTTTTTGTTTGTTTGCCGGTGCAAACCTGGCGACGTGGAGCGGCGTGAGGCCGGACTCGGTGGTGGACTCGATGGACGCCCCGTGTTTCAGGAGCAACTCGACGACCTTTATGTGGTTCTTCTTGCAAGCGATGTGGAGGGGCGTGAACCCGTTGAGGGCCCGGGCGTTGGGATCGGCCTTACGATCGAGCAGCAACTTGGCCACCCGCACGTGTCCACAGTGCGCGGCCACGTGCAGCGACGTCAAGTAGTCGATCGTCACTTCGTCCACGGGGGCACGGTGGTACAGGAGCACCCGGACGGCGTCCACGTGGTCTCCTTGGGAGGCCATGTGCAGCGGCGCGAGGCCGTTCTGACAGGGGGAGGGAAGGAAGTTTTTATTTCCTAGTTTTTCCAATTGTAATGATAAACCGTTGTACCTTTGATCGGGCGCTGATGGGCGCCGAGCTCTCGAGGAGGGTCGTCACGCACTGCTCGTGGCCCGATCTTGCGGCGCAGTGCAACGGGGTCAGGCCGTCCCTCGTCTTGGCGTCTATGACGGCCCCGTGCTCCAACAGGATTTTCACCATGTTGTTTTTCCCCCATTTCGCCGCCACGTGCAATGGACTTATGTTGTGCTGTAACAGTATTCCAATGAGGTATACAGGCTTTTTTTTTTTTTTTTTTTTTTGCCGCACCAAGTAGAAACAGTCGAGCTGTGGTCAGACGGTAAATCGAGTTCCTTTTTTGGTCGCGAGCCTCTTACATTTTAATTTACAAATGACCGATCGATTAACGCGTCAATACACGTATCTCTTTCCTCGGCGCTCCGTGACACGTGACAATTAAGTACGGCAGCGCAGCGAGAGATCGAAATGTATAAGTTGAAGAAGAGGTACATTGAGACAAAGGGGGAGGGGAGGGAGAGGGGTGGTCGATTTACCTTGGCCAAATAATTAACATCGGCTCCTCGTTTGATGAGTAGCCGGGCGATGTCTTCGTTGCCGTAATGAGCGGCTATGTGCAGCGGAGTGAAGCCGCTCTTTGACGTCACGTCCGGCTTGTGGTCGTTCTGAAAAGTAACAACAATCACCGTCACTGTGCTCACACCACCTCGAGCGTGCGTTTCATTATTCTTTTTGCGCCTCGTTTCGCTCGATCGCGTTCCAATAGACGATTACGCGTATACGCGGTCAGAAGCGAAGCGCAAACAAAAAAACAATTAGCTCCCGTGAACGGGCAACAAAGGGTATAAATAAATCGTGGAAAAAAGAAAAATAGAGCGAAAAGGATGAAAGGTGATCCGATAAATCGATAAAGTCGCTTTGTTTTCTCACCTGTAAGAGTAAATCGGCTGCCTTGCAGTCGTCCTTTTTCGCGGCTATGTGCAGCGCCGGCAGCCTCACTTTGCCCTTCGAGTCGTTCTCCAATAGCACGCTGACTACCTTGTCGTGGCCCTGTTGCATCGCCACCGCCAGTGGTGTAAAACCATCCTGGGATTAACCGGCGAGCAAAGATAAGTTTAAGGTTGCTTCATTTTTGTCAACAAAAGCGTCGTTATACATATTTAAGTATACCTCCGTCGCGAGACTTTGGTTCGCCCCGTTGCCGAGCAGGATCTTGACGGCTTGGTCGTGGTTTTCTTGGGCGGCCATGTAAAGCGGCGTGAATCCATTTTGCGACTGGATATTCACGGCGGCGCCGTATTGGATGAGAATGGTCACCACCTCCGATTGACCAGCTGTGAGGATGAGACGACGTTAAAATACATTCATGGATGGGCAATGTAGTTTATGGGGATTCAATGGAGTGCCTTTGATCGGTCTTGTTTTCAGATAGGAATTTAAACTATCCGAGGGAACTAGCATTTATTTTAGAGCAGAAATAATTCATTGAGCGCAAAAACAAGAAAAAATAGAGTTTCCTTCGAGTGCAGTCGAGATCTTTCACGCGAGAGAGGAGAAAGTTTGTTGGGTGGGTGGAAGAGTAGGGGTGATTCATGTACAACCTAGGGACGCTATGTGCAATGCGGTGTTCCCCTTTTTCGTGGCGGCGTCGACCTTTGCGCCCCGCTTCAGGAGTTCCGTCACGATCTCCACGTGGCCATCCTTGGAAGCCAAATGCAGCGCGTTCAAGCCGTTCTGAAACCAATGCGTCATCCATTTTATTCACGTTATACTTGCCCCCTCCCCCTTCCCTTTTTTTTTTATTGTTCAACAAATTCAGCTTTAGCCGCTATTCGATGAACAACCACGATTTATCCATCAACTGCCGAAGAGAACAATTAATTGTTCGAATCGGTGGTGTGTGACAAAAAAAAAAAAAATTAATTTCCAATTGCACGCCTCAAACGTGTCGTTTCAATGCACTTGCATCAACAACCTTATATTTATCATTTAAGTGCGTTTTTCTTCGTTTTTCAAAAAATCTTTTACCCAAAGAAATTATTCAATTACACGTAAAAACGTCAAAGCCAAGGTCACAAAGTAACTCATCATTATCAGAAGATTCATTGTTGCGTGATAAAATTTATGCATAGTATAAATGAAAAAACAAAAAACTTACCGAGTTGGCTGTGTTGATGTCGAGGTTAGTGTCGAGGTACTCGACGACCTTCTCGAGGTTACCGGACCGTGCAGCCCGGAGAAATGCCGTGGTGGCGTCACTCTGCAAAAAGATAATTGCCGATTATCTCTTGAGAAAGAAAAAAACAAAACAAAAACTTGCGAGAGGGGGGTGGGGGGGGGGGGATATCGCACAGGACTGACGAGTTTAAAGTCACCTGTTTCGCGATGGATCAACGGGGGACGATCGGCTTTTCTGGGCGGATTCCCGTACACGTGTACCCCTTATCTCGCGACATTGTGCCGATCGACTCGAAAATGGTAAACGCGCCAATGAAAGAAAGTTTTATCAGCTCCGACTGCTTCCTCGAACGAAGATCAGGAGTAATCGCGAAGAAACATTGGCAATGCATCCCAACGGAGGAACTTGTAGCTGATGTATAAGCTTGCGAGTGCATTGAGGGGAAAAAATGCATTCGCTTAAGCCTCTTATGCCTTTTTTTTTTTCTTTTACTTCCGCGATCCGTTTGAAGAGCTCGGAGTAAAAATCGTTACGTAACGCCATTCGCCAACCCCTTTTGTACATATTATGTATATCATACGAACAGCTGGAAATTTCCTCGAAATCACCAAACCACCAAAAAACCACTTTTGTATCGATGAGAGCGAGGAAAAAAAAGAAAGGGACCAATCGAAGGTAATCAACACACGGTGCAATTGTATGTGGGTGTACTTTGAGTTTCTGCCTTTTTAAGGAGAAACGGGCGATGGGAAGTGAGTTCGGTGCCGAGCGTCACTTAATCCGTTGGTTAAACGTGAAATCGATCGTACAAGTAGGTGTACTTGCCAACGAGCCTTCAATACCTCCGCCACCCCTTAATCCCCGACCCTTTTTTTTTTAATTTACGTGTAGAGTATAACGTGAGGTACCAAAAAAAAAAAAAAAACTGTGGAGTGGAAAATTCGTATTACGAGCACAGAGGCGCGCCTTTTTCGTTTACACAAGTGTGTGCATATCCTACCAATGAGAAGAGTGTCGCTCTTTGACAATAAAAGCAGAGACGAGAAAGTCGTTTGGGATTGATAGTTGGGAACGGTACCCATCTCTTGCGAGTGAAATTTTTCGTGCCTTTTTCGCGTCAGTTATTCACAGTCGTCGAATTAATTTGGAACCATTTGACCAAAAGTGCCATTTAGTACTATCTTTGAAAATAATAATTTTCCTACCTCGGGGCGTTTTTCGTGACATTTGGACGTTTACCGTGCCCTCGGTAAGTAATCCAGCGCTTCTGTGACGAACATTACCAGTGCGTTTACAGTGCAAGTGTTTGCAAGCATTAGATCGGAAGGGGGTATTATAATTATAGGTGGTCGAGAAAAATACCAAAGTGCTTTCTTTTCATACTCAAGTATATTATATGCAGGTTCAAGAAAAATTTGCTTTTCAAAATATCTGACAGTATTTTACGGTGCATTAATTATTATGCCGATGACATATTGTTTTGTTCGTACATTGTTGTATCAAGTATTATACTGAGAGAAAAAAAATAATAAAAATGGCTGTTCTACAATGATAATCTGGTACTATTCGGTCGTCTAGAGACTTTTTATTATTTAAACAATGATTTTTATCGTTCGGAACAATAATTTTTGTGAAAAGTACAGTGAAAATACTTACTGTATGTAAAATAGAAATTACTGTCCAGCAATGAAATGGTAAAAATTTGGTTAGCCAAAGTAAAAAGTTCTTAGACACCAGATTACCATTTTGGCACAGTAATTTTTATTATTTTTTATCTCTCAGTGTACGGACGGCACAGTTTATCCAATGAATTTATACATAGTAAACAAATAAATATATCAACTCGCTGTGTACACTCGTCTCGTCTCGGACCATTTTTACGGATGAAACCAATAAAATAATTTAAAAGACACGCGCGAACTCGTTAAATCTGAAAACACGCGATAACTCGAAACAAAACAAAAATCAATCAAATCACATTTGTCTCGGATGCTTCCAATTGTTATCCAGCCCCTGCCACGCGCTGTATATTACATCACCGTGTCCTTCAATCCGACGGCACCGCAATAGCTTCAACACTATACTCTATCTAATTTCGAAAGAGTCAAAGCCACTTGAGCCAATGAAAAAACCCGATCGTTGCAAGCACACGCGAGGACGATTCAAAAGAAACGGCCGCTTCCAATTGACCGCTACAACGCTCATTTTTTGTTCTTTTTTTTTTTTTTTCTAACTTTCTTATCTCTTCCTACACGTTACGTTGGCCGCGTCGGACGATCGCGTATAAATAGAGAGCCAACTCGGGAAGGTATCCTAGCAAAGTGCGCCTCGCGATGGTAACGACGGTGGTGTGCCTTGGTCTTTTGTTCGGCGCCACGGTGGCCCAGAGGGACGAGAGCTCCGCCGTTCCACGGGGGCTCAAACTGGACCTCGTTCAGGCCGTAAGTGCGGGCGCGTGTGTTTCGGATCGACTCGCGTATTGCACCTGGTGACGTTGGTTTCCAAGTTTTTCAGGCACGGCGAGAGGACGAGCTTGCCGATAGAGTACGCCTCGTACCCGTACCTCGACGCATCGGTGTACGAGCCCTACGGATTCGGCCAGCTGACCAACGTGAGTATACACCGGCCGACGAATACAGCCTTGTCGTTGTTGATTCTCAAAAAAAAAAAAAAAAAAAAAAAAAACTTGGCGCGTCCCAGAGGGGTAAGGAACAGATGTACAACGTGGGCCGGATGCTGCGGAAGCGGTACGACGGCCACTTGAGCGAGAAGTACGTCTCGGAGGAGGTGTACGCGTACTCGAGCGCGGACGATCGGACGAAAACGTCCCTCCAGTTGGTCCTGGCCGGGCTTTACCCGCCAACTCCGGGTTTCGTCTGGAACCCAAACTTGGAGTGGATACCCCTTCCGTTTCGCTACACTCCCAGGGAGGTCGACGTGCTCATGAAATCCTACGAGAGTAAAGAGTAAGTCTTTACTTTTGCGCGGCTACACTATAAATATGGCTCATACCGGACAAACCGATAAACTCTGTGTTTTTGTCAAAACTGATTTGTCAAACTTTTGAAATAATTCGAGTTATCGGTTTCTCGTAATCAGCGCAAAACCTCATGGATTAACTTACATTTTCCCGGGCCAACTGAATAAGTGATGTAAAAAAATCGTTGCTACAGCAGAAATTGTTGATTTAAGGTGCGGAAATCATGGAAGAATACCGTATTTAGTAATTTTCAGCGTAAGTATGTGGCTTTTACGGATAAATAATCAAAGTCCTTCGTATAGTATGCATACGTACGGTATGTGCGACTTACGTCACACTTTGTCTGTTCTAAGAGAGAGAGAGCGAGAAACTTTTTACTGCAATATATAAGGATATATAAGGGTAATGTGTATTATATTCGACGCCAATATCCACACTTTAGAAAAATTTATACAGGGGTGTAAAATATAGGCACTGATGTCGGGCCTATGCCGTAGGAGAGCGTTCACCTCTTGCAGGAATCAAAATTCGTCACCTAACGCTAATTTACTTTAGTTAAAATCCCTGCAATTGTAGTCCAAGTCTTGTTTCCTACAAAAATGAACTCGATTCAAATTTTTCAATGTCAATTTTAAACGGAAAAAAAAAAAAAACTAATCGTGTTACTTTTGGTTGGGATCATTGTTTTGTTGCTATAACTGCACGAAGTACCGCAATGCTCTGTTTAAGTAATAAAAATGTACTACTCGATGACAACTGATTGGCAATATTAAAGTATTGTGTTGGTGCTTAACTTTAGTCACAGCAAGAAACGCGCAGTTTCTGCACTGTCGAAAAGTAGATATTCAATCTTTAAAGCCGTTTTTCTCGAAAATTACAAAAATTGAGTAAATCGGTTGACGTATACTCTACTCGATAAATAAACGTTGATCATACAACACGCTGCAGGTGCGACCAGATGCTTCAACAAGTGCGAAGAGGGCCAGAGTATGTGAGAGCCGTGTCCAAGCACTCGGGCGTATTCGACTTGATGAGGAACAAGACGAGCATGCACGTGTCGTATCACTGTCCAAACCCAGTGATCGGTATGTTCAATCTGCTTCAAATCAACGTGAGTCAAAACACACGCGCACTCGGTTTGAGGCACGAAAGGGGCGTTTGGTGGAGACCGTTTATTGGCTTCTCGTAGGAAAAATTGGGCCTGCCGTTGCCGGATTGGTACACCGAGGAGGTCAAAAGGGAGCACAGGAGCGCCTACGCCGAGGTGATGCGGTCAAAGGCCCACACGATCAGGCAAAGGAGACTCGACGGCGGCCCCTTGGTGAGGACCACCCTGGAGAACATGAACTTGAACGGGAGCTTGACCAATCCACGAAAGATATACCTCTACAGCGGACACGACATGACCCTGTATGGGTTTTTCAAGGCGTTGGATGTCGGCGATCACGATCACGTTGACTTTGGCACGACCATCGTACTCGAGAAGCTCCGGGACTCCCGCAATAATCGGATTTTCGTGAGGGTAACTGTTTGTGCTATTCATATGTTTTCTCTTTGAAACAATCGGTAGATCAGGTTTGTAGTTTCTAGTGTACAGCCCGATCGAGGACAAAACGATAGCCGTGAGGGTCGGCGGTTGCGGGGAGTTTTGCCCGGCCGAGGACTACGTGAAACACATAGCCAATGTGGTGCCAACGGACGAGGAAAGGGACGTTCTTCTCAACGAGTTCAACGTGGGCAGGTTGAAGGACCTGTTCTTCGTCGACGAGAAGGTCAGGAAACCATCGGCCCAGGCTCGCGAGTTTGATCCCTACGCGTGTGTGTACAAGAACAATGCCCAGGAGGATTGGAACGATGTTTAACATGTGGACATTATGGCATTGGGGCGTTTTGTGTGACGAAATCGAGGCACGCGAGTTGACGGTGTTGTTTCATTTTTAGGGGACCTGTAATTTTGTCGGAGCAAAAAGTGTATAGCCACTTATAAATCGTCTGTTTTTAGTGTAAAACAAATTTTTAACTTAGCATGAGGGCTATCTGAGTTGGTCACGTGGTGTATTTGTGGATGTATGTATGTTATCAAATTTTTCGACCAACAATTGTTATCCAAAGTTGTAGATCACGATAAAATATAACTTTTTTCTATAATACATGTTGCTCTGTAAGGCAAAATATATGCACGAAAACAACGAGAAAAACCCGTTTTTTGCCACTTACAGAAATAAATTTAAATCCTACAACAAAGTGTTAAATACAAAAGTTGTGAAGCCCATTAAAATGAAACTTTTTTGTAATGCAAGTTTGTCTGTAAAGTACCTTCTTAACGATTTAATCGTCAAAAATCGTTTTACACCATCTTATTTTTGTACATTACATTTTTAGACGAAATGATTGATAAACAAGTTATAGATCTTCCAAAAATACACTTGTTTGCATTGACTGATTCCATCTATTGTGTTGTTATAATATAATAAATATCGAAAACAGTTTCAAAATGGTTAAAAAAGTGTTTTGTAGCACATAAGTTTGTTAATTAGAATAATAATTGAATTCTGTTATTTAAATAGTCACATGCAAGACAAAGTGTTTCGCATAAATTTTGTTTTGTTTGCAGACTTTTGCTCTGGGAATACTTTCTAGTCAATACATAGTGCAATTTGTATTTCAAAAGCATCAAACCATACTTGAATATTTGTTTTCTGTTTTTTGTATGGAAAAATTTTTCGTTCAGTTTCCAACTAAACGCGACGCAATTAAAAAAAAATTACGATTAGATATTAGTTGTTGCACATTTATAAGATAATCGCGCCAAAAGTGTACGTGATCAGATAGCCACGCGAAAACACTTGACGTTCGCGTGGAGTACCTCTTGGCGATAAATCCCGATATAACATTTACCCAAACGGCCCTTGAACACTATCGTTATCGGCGTTTACGCAGGCAAGACTCGCAAAAACGTCAAATAAAAGAAAATTTTACTTTTCCAAAATAATGTTTACCCGTTTGCCCCGTGCGCGCGCGCTTTGTTATCAGTTTATTCCGTCTTTCATCGATCGTATCGGACAGCATCGGTTGTCATTGAAGCGTAAAAGCGTAAAAAAAAACTTGTACGATCACAAGACGTAGGACAGAGTTGAAAATAAATTGTTTATTTTTTTTTTTTGTTTTTTCAACCAAACCTCAAGTAACGTTTGTTCTCGTGCTCGTAAATTTCCTACGAGTGTTAACAGACCTGGCAATCGGTCTCTTTGCATATGGCAATAAATTATACGCCGCTCTTGTTTAAACACATACGTATATCGTTCAAGCGCACCGTAAACCTTCGGAAAAGTAATGGACCCTCGAGAAAAAGAGTAATTAAAAATGCGCACCCACGTACATAATACACGCTCGATCGATCGGATGAAAACGACCCATCAAGAAAATGAGTTACGCCTACAACGGGGGGGGGGGGGGGGCGTGCGATGAGTCCGTTCAAGCTTGCCTCGACGTATAGACATAGTGCCGGCATCTTGATTACCGTGTTTGTCCATCGGCTGCCGCCCCTCCTCGCGTTGTTTCTTACCCCATAGGGAAGACAAACCCACCCCCTGGAAGAAAATAGAGAGTCCCCTCTCCGATATCCCATCCAGCCTCTCGAGCAAGCGCGAAAAGTATGTCGCTTGCAGCGTGACGTATATACAAGCTAGCAGTGAAAAAACAGATGGAGGAGAGAGAGAGGGAAGGAAAAAAATTTTCATCCCAGCCAAGAGCGATAGCCAAGGGGGATGAAGGGAAACAAAAAACGAAGGAGGCCATGGCGGTGTGTGGAGTGGCGTCGAATCGTCCACCCGGTCCCGACAAACTAGACCAAAACAAGGAACAACTCGTGCCAAGTCGGCGCATATTTCGCCTCTCCTCCATTATGTACATGTGCACACACATATATGTGTTTTTATCCGTCGTGACTATTACACAATCGGGCACACGCGCGCGTGCTCCTTTTGAACTATTTTTTTTTTTTTTTTTTTTTGCAGTTGTCTACTTGCTGCGTGTATTTTTCATACGCACCGGAGACTGGGGTTTTACCGGGTCTACTGGAGCTGCCGATGTTTTTTCACAAACAAAATCACGGAAGCAAAAACGTTGCGAATTCAAAGATGGCAAACCAACCGGATAACATGCATGATGTATCCCGTACGTGGTTCACGAGGAATCCAACTTGGCTGAGGTTCTTTATATACATTGTAGATCAATGTGGGTTTTCTTGAACTCGGAAAGAGGAGAGAGAAGAAAAAAGAAAACAATTTTTTTTTCAGAGTATAATTTCTCCCCCCCCCCCAAAAAAAATATTGCACAACAAAAATGACAACACTCGCATGTCACTCGTCGAACCTTCATTTTATCTTTAAGGGGGTGTATGTGTACATGAAAATATGCGGTCGCCCACTCGTGATCGATACCCACATATTTGTTGCGCGTACGAATCTGGTATCCCTTTCTTCTAGGGGAATATGAAAAAAAAAAAAAAAAAAAAAAAAGTCATTGATAATGATGTAGTTTATTATTTTTCAACAGTATATCATCGTCCAAAATATGACATTCGACTCAACTTCCGCGTGGATGTACCTTTGTCGCGTGGGGAAATCACGTCCAGAAACAAACGTCGTCCCTGGTAAAAATAAAATAAAAAAAAAAAAAAAAGCCATCGCAGTTGTTCCACTTCGATGTCCACCTTGGCGAAAACGAGTCACGAGCCGGCATCTCCTGGCCACCCCCTGGATATTTTTTTCCTCCCCTCGACACTGACGCCCACACACGTACACACATGTACACGTATTTATATATATATATCTCTCTCTTTCTCTAGTGTACCATGTACATATATATATATTCCACCCTCGAGTACGAAGGTTCCACACCCCTGAAAGACCGCGAGAGAGAAAGAGGGAGCTGGAGCTCGTCAGTGGAGCCCCTCGACGGCGCCGAGGCTGAATTCGATCCGCCGGCTGTGCTGTGTATGATATATATATATGTATACGCCTACACACACACACAGCACAGAGAGCAATTGTACATATTTCCCACAGCCAGTGTATGATACCACGTATACACTTGCGATCGACTCTCCGTTGTTGTTGGTGTTATCATTATATGGGTACAACAAACACAAGTACAACATGCATCGTCCACAGCCTTTAGTATGCAGGTAACCGACGGGAGCAGGGGAGCTTGCGGAGAAATCATTTCGAGCGCTGTACATAACGTACCCATTTGGAGGTCCAAAAGCCACGGGAGGGAAAATAATGGAGGTGGAAGAATCGATTGATCGGAAGATCAAGATGACGCGTTGACTCTCGTTGTAGTTTTTTCTTTTTTTGTTTTTTTTTTTTTTTTTTTTTT